AGGACAGCAAGATCCTCTCCTGTGCAGTGGGGACCTTTGAGTGCCGTGGAAGTGGTGAGCATGCAGCGGGAGGCTGAGGAGCAGCAGAGGGCTGGGGGCCTCCTGCAGCCCTGCTCTCTTTGAGAAGTGGAATTTCTGTCCTCTTTCCTAACCTGTATTTATTTACTCATTTGGTTTATTAAAGTTACACTGTAGCTGGCTTCCCTTTTTCCCAGGGAGCACAGCGAGGTGGGCAGATGGGATCTCGGGTTCAGGGATTGGGACAGGCAGCTTAGAGGTGAGCACTGGGCAGCAGTGTGGGTGAGGTCCTTGCAGAGGTGGTCCTTCTGCCTCGGTTCATCCTCTGTCTGTTGCAGTTACACAGATGTTTGTGAAGTTTTGAGCACCCTCAAGAAATACAGAAAGACTGATTTGTGCCATGAAGGAGCAGGGGATGTTTGGAAACAGGAGTACATTGTGTAGAGAAGGGTACCGGTTCCTTTGGAGGATAGGAGACTAAGGTATCTTCAGTAGCCATCGTTAATATCTTGTGAAGGTGCTTGGCCCATGAGGCAGGGTGACACAAAGGGCTGGCAGAGGTACTTCCCAGTTCAGTGCTCACACATGAAAGGCAAAGAGCTGCTGGAAATAAAGCCTTAGACTTCGAACCTAAAAATTGATGTGAAAACTGTTACGTATTGAAAAACATGCAAATTGTTGATTTTTCAGCCTCAATACATAGGTAGGATTTTTTTTTCTTCCTGAAAGTGCCCTTGCTGATGCAGGTCAACACAAATGAGAGCAGGTGTGTGGGCTGAGTAACAGATTCTCTGAGTTCTGCCTGAAAAAGGCAGCAGAAGCTTCAACAAACTAGTTGAAGCTGAGTCGGTGCCCGGCTTATTTGTTTTAATCTGCTTGATGCATCTGTTATGTACTCTGCACCTACTTTAAAAGAATATCTGGACTTTGCATTAGCAAGTTTAGAAAGTCTTGCATGGCCTGAGATTGTAGTCTTCTTGTGTCTGTCAGTGATGACAGAGACGGTGTTTAGTGCCTCAGCTCGTCCTCAGCATCTTGCAGTCCCTGCACCCCAAGTCTGGCTCCTCAGTGAGTTGAAAGTGCTCTCTCTTCTGGAAGTTCTCTCTCTTCTGGAGTTTTCCCTGCCCCTGAGCAGGTGCAGATCCTGCCACACATGGCAGTGGTGAGGTCCATTGAGGGCAGGGGCTGCAGCTCCATCCGTGCTGAGGCTGCAGGGCTGTGCCCTGGTGCCAGCAGTGCTCTGGTCCTCGTGTGGCTCCTGGGCCTGTGTGAGCAGACACAGCTCAGCTCACAAGGGCTGTGTGTACTTTCCATATCACGTGCCTCACCTTTCCCACATCGTGCTCACTGCCTTGTGTTATCTGTATAATTTCTTTGGTTGCTGGCATGTGTGTCTTTGTGGAAGAAAGACAGAAGGGAAGAGTAGGGTATTTTTTAACGAAGGCTTTTTTTTTTTTCATTAAGTTGAATATTTTCTGAAGAAAATATTAACCAACGTACCAGGCCCTGTTTAATCTGCATTAGATTTTCACTGTTGTGAAAACCTTTTTCTTTTTGTAAAGTGTGTACCTTGTGTGCTTTCTGTAGTTGAAGAAATGAATTGTAGCCAAATACTGGTTTAATTTCCTTTATGAATGGTGATTTGCTCTGTTTGATCCAAGCCAGTAATGTGAGCTTTAATGCAGAAAGCCCCAGACCTGATGCTGTTTCTCTCCAGAGCTGCTGGGCTGGTGGGCCTGGTGCTGCAGATGCACCTGCCATCCCACAGCCAGCCATGCACAGTGCCATGGGGTGGCTGGAGGTGAGGTGCTAGCTGCAGTGCTGGCCCACACCCTGCTTTCTTGGGCCACGGCAAGCACAGGGCCTCTCTGCCTGTCCCCTCAGCTTCTCCTGACCAGGTGTTTCAGCAGCGCTGCCTTCAGAAGGAAGGACAGCTGGGAGCACTCAGCCTGCCTGCAGCCCCCGGAGTTCTCAGGTGCCGGCTGGGCTGCTGCAGGTACCAGCACTCAGTTCCCCTCAGCTGCTGCCAGGCCTGACTCCCCCCGGAGGGGAGCTGTCTGGAGGAAGACCGGCCTGGCAGTGCTAATTCTCAGCCTGCTGCTAACTGTGTCCAAAATGAGCTACGCCTGTGGAGAGCAGGTCCCTGCTCCTTCAGCTCTTGGCCTGCCTCGGTGGGCAGAGGAGGGCCGCAGTGGGAGGCTGGTGAGCTGCCCTGTGCCTGGGCTTCTCCAAAGGAGCGCTTGAGGGCGGCTGGGCGCATGCCTGCAGCGCTGGGCCTGGCCTCCTCCGGTCCTCGGCCTGAGCCTCCCGTGAGCGTGGCCCCGAGCAGCAGTGCCACAGAGGATGCCTGGGCGGCCTGCCCCGCTGCGAGCACGGGGCCAGGGTCTGGCACTGCTGTTGCGGGGCTCCCTGCAGCAGGACGAGGCCAGGGGCTCCGCTGCCGCTTCCTGCGCAGTGTGGGCTCCCCGGGGCCGTGCCCTGCACCCTGTGCTTCCAGGGAGGCAGCAGGCCGAGATCTGGGCGCTGGGGATGGAGGCAATGCTGAGTGTCCCGGTGTGCTCAGGGCCCCACCTGCACAGTCAGGATAATCTCAATTCAAATTTGAATTACATCAGAGACGGATCAGCTTTTTGCACTGCTGCAGCTGTTAAGCCTGTAGTTGTGAGAGGCCTTGTTTGATCCCAGCTGCATCTCTTTGATTGTGAATAAGCTCTTGATTTCAGGAGAGCTTTCTTTCTTTCTTTTGTTGTACAGTTTAGCGCAACTGCAGATCATACCCATGTCCTGAATCAGTCACTCTGTTACTCATACCTGTGTCGAGCTGCAGCAGTGTCCTGAACACAGCCCATGAGTGCTGCTCTGTCATGAAGCTTATTTTAAACAGAAGCCTCTGAAGTTTTCCAGAGGCAAAGTGAGAGGCTATGAATGACAGTCACTGTGTTGCTGCTGCAGAATGCGTGTTGGCTCTGTGCAGCAGGTCGCTGAGGCAGGACACCGGAGCTGGGCCAGTGCGTGGAGCTTTGTGAGCCTGCTTGGCACCGTGCTTCTGCTGTGACACTTCTGTCCTCCAAGTGTTAGCATGAGATCACAGGGTGTATGCCTGGCCTGAGGGCTTGTTGCTACCTTCTCAACAATGGAACACAGAGTTTCTCTTTAGACAAAATATTCTCCATCCATAGTCTGTCTCTGAAGAGTCAGCTTCTTGCAGAACACGTTTGAGGGATATTCTACCAAGTCTATAGACTTTGAAAGTTAATAAAAATGCACACAAGGTGATATGACTTTGTTATGACACATCTCAGTTTCTTAGGAGCAGGATAATTCTGATGAAAGCTGAAGGAGTTCATGGAATCTGATTGCAGCCCTCTGAAATACAGCTTTTGGGGCTTTTGTTCATGGTGCGTTAGATCAGATCTTTGAAGTCTTAAATGAGAGTGCAATATTCAGAATCCTTCTGGGTGATGAGGCTGTGCAAACTGGTGTCTCTTTTGGTTCCATGCCCACAGAGGAGGTATTGGTACATTTTCAGCTGTGGTGGAAATGTAATCATCTTTCTGTGTTTGGTGTTGGCATTCTTGGTTTAATTGTGCTCTGTACTTACAAGTTACAAATGTCAACTATGAGGGGCTTTTAAATGTCTTTTATTTTTTGCTTCCTAGCATTAATCCTGTTTGCCTGCGTGTCCTGTGGCTTTGACTTGGCCTCTCTAGTTGATTTGGCATGGACACATGTTAGGACCGATCTGTTTTGAACTGTTTCAAACTGAATTCCTTTTGAAGTATGGTGCAGAGATGCTTTTGCAATTGAGAAGTGCAGGTGTAGCTCCCTATGCCATTTTTTAAAAATTCATTTATAAGTTGTTCTAAGTTTCTTTAAACTGCTTCACATCTCCTCTCTGGCTTCTCCACACGGAGACAAATGGATGTGCCCTTTAAAGTTCGACTCATTAAACTGACTCACAGCACCAGGGCAAGTGCACCTGGCATGCAGATAAGGTACAGAAAGCTGTAGGTTTGGACTGTTCTCTTTGGTGTTTTTTTCCCTGTGACAGGCCCATCACTCTCCAGTAGATGTTCCTGTGGGAGCCTGTCATCTGCCACTTGTAGTGGCTGATATTTAGTGAGAGTGCCAGAGGGCCACAAGTCAAGTGTGAAGCAAACTTCATTACCACTTGGTATTTTATCTTTTCTTTAGCATTTCTAACTTTAAGAAGAGCATCTCACATACTGTCATTGCCTGAATACTCTTCAGAAAGGGTCCAGTGTGTTTGGTCACATCCAGCTGTCCAAGGGTGGCTGCCAGGAGGGTGGTAGCACTGTCCTTCTGAGTCAGACACTGGGTGACTTGAGGGATCTGCAGCATTGCTGTGGCATTGCATTCTCATGGAGCCCAGAACGAACATCTGGAGCAGAAAGGCAGCTCCTGTGGTGAGCGGGGCCATGCGAGGGGAGGCAGGGCTAGCTCTTGCCTTTGGAGGTTGGGCTGCTGCACCTCTTCACTTAGAGCAGGATTTGTGTCCTGTGGCAGCAGTCGGTGTCTTAAGCAGCTGCTGGTACTTGGAAAAGCTTCTGTAAGGCTTGCTGTCAAGAGGGAAATAATCCTATTTTATAGATTGTCTTTGAAAAGTGGAGGCAGATGTTCTTTATGTGGTGCTCTTTGTAGGAACTTGTGGCAGATTAACCCACAAGACCCCTCCCTGCGCAGGGGCTTAAAAGGCTCTAAGGCAGAGACTGAAGATTTTTATTATCTCTGGAACTCATATCATGTCTGTCTTGGAGAAAATTCCCACTCTTCCTTTAGATCTGTTAACTTGACAAGTTTCTTCCAAAGCTGTTGCTGCTGCTGTTTCTGCCTGCTGAGCAAGCTAGAAGCAGCAGAATGCCAGGCTATATTTAGCCAAAATCCGGAGCGTGTGCCTCACAGCCAGTGTCGCTCAGTCTGTGCCTCTCGCAGTAACCTCTCCCTCTTTCACTTTCTTCAAGGTAACAGAAGATAAGAGCACAGCTGTTCTCCTAGAATGTCACGAAGTCTGTACACATCCTGACATGCTCCCCAGGAGAAGCGGGAGGTTGCCATGCACGTGACAGGAGGACGGGTTTCCTTGTCAGCTTGCACTGCTTATCATCATCTGGGAGAGGTGACAGTCACTGGGACGTGGAGCTAGGAGGCTCTTCTGGTGTGAGGCTGGCAGGAAAGAAAAGGATTTCTTAATCTAGGATGAGAATTTGACAAGTCATACAGCAATGAACTAGGAGAACAGCAAAAAAAAACCAACTTGGAATGTATTTATTACCTAAAAGTTAGCTATTCTTGATAAAATCCCAAAAATTATGCTGCTGCTTATTTTACTTACAGATTTCACACACTTCTAATTTTAAAGCTACCAAACATTTACTCCATTATGTACTCTGAGAAATGTAATTGGAGCAAGACATACAAGAGAATGAAATCATTGTAGTGTCTTAAATACAGCGAACTCACTTTTGTGTCTATTAAAACTTGGAAAATGTGCAACACGTAACAATGTGGCTGTCATTGCATATGTTAAAGCTTTTTAATGTGATTTGCTGCAGAGCTGAGAGAACTGATGTTTACAAGTACAGGAACAAGCAGTCAGTGGGTAATTTGGATGGTTGTGTGTCCTAAGAGAGTGTACTGAAGTCACCTGAAGCCGTGGGCAGCCCAGCTTTGGTCTGCTTGCACTACGTGCATGGAGGTGAGTTGTCCGCCTGGTGGACCAACTGAAGGATGAGCTAACTTGTGTGTCCACACCTTCTGGTCAGCAAGTGCAAGCATAAGGCCTCTTAAACATGTGCTGTTGGATAGAAGAGGTCCTCATTCTCACACATTACCAGATGTGACTGGCAGTCTTTAAGAAAAACGGAAAGCAAGCAGCCTATCCACTCTACAGGAGAAGTGGTTTACAAACAAAGTGACCTGTAATCAAACCTTTGAAACTATATCACTTAATTTCTTTTGGCGTACAGTTGTCTAGGTTTTCCCTGGAAAAAGGTCCTGGTCTAGGAATTTGATAATGTGTTATTCTGGTGCTCTGAGAAGAGTTCAGAGTTGCCCCTGATAGGTTAAATGTCATCTGCGTGTGCTAGAAGATTAACTTCTAGATGAAGAACCATTGCACAGATTTTACTTCCTGTTTCTTCTTAATCTGTTGCAGCAAATACTGTGATGAACTGTTGTCAAATTCAAAGAACGAGTGGAAAGGAAAACATAGAAGCTTGTGTTTTCTTGATTTATGCTGGTTATAATGTGGTATTTTGAACGTCAGCAAGAGAGATCCGAACTTCCCCTTTCTGCATAACAACAACAAAGTTTAACATGAAAAGTCCAACACCAGAAAATCCCTTCTGCTCAGTCTCGATAAGAGCATTCAGTCAAAAATGTTTCTCTTAAAACTGTTGAAAGGCTGTGGTAAACAAGCAAACTAAAATGCACTGCTAAAACAGGACATTTGTCTCCCAACGCCAATTTCGGCTACCTCTGCAAACAAATAATTTTCCTGTTTTCCAGAAATAAATGTAAAAAAAGACAGCAGTGTATAGAGAAGGAATGTGTTCTTGCACCTTGTGTACAGCCTTTAAGAAGCAGTTGTTTACCTGGGCATCTGCTGTCCCCATCTCCAAAACAGCATGTGTGGCTGGCAAGGATGCTGAGTGCTCCTACTCATGGGAAAAAACAGATTGGCCTTTATCAATCAGTCTTGAGGAATTTCTGTTTGTTGTTGTTGTTGTTGTTTTTTCCTAGCATCCTCTCAAGCTTAGGGTTAGCTGGTGGCTATGTGAGGTGATTTCTATGTTTGCTGCTCACACAGTTCTTCATTGTACAAATGCCCTGCCAAGATGTGTTGCAAAGCTTTCTGGCTGCAGAGTGGCAGCAGTTAGCTGATAGGAGTTACAGATAGCCTGCTGGCTGCTTAAAAAAAAGGGCAAAATGAAAAGAAGCAAAACCCCCATGTCCGGAAAAAGCGCCTACCTGGAGCTGCTAGGATCTGCAGATGGGTGCCAGGTGCCCCAGGCACAGCTCACAGGTGCCGCACGTTGTGGGTCTCACTCCCTGCTGGTTCGAGTTCTGAGGCCTCGTGTTCAGTGCAGCTGTTCTCCATCCTTGTGTCAGTGCTGCAAACAACATGGAACAGATAGGGAAGGTAAGATCGAGCCCAGTGTCCTTCCCTTGATGCTGGCTGCGGTGCCCAGGGTAGGGCTGCTCAGTGCAGGTGTCCGGGCGCCTCCCCACGATGAAGTGGTGCTGCACTTCGACCCCTGCTGCATATAAGCACCCACCAGACGTTGGTGCAGTGGCAACGTGCCTGGGCAGCCACTGTCAGAGTGAGGGCTGTGCCGGTGCTGTGCAGAGCAGTCCCTGCACTCACACTGGAGCCTCCAGCTTTGTGTCCCACTGTTTTCCCAGAGCATGTTTCATATCTTGGGATGGGCTGCATCCCTGTGCCTGTGTGGAACATCCCTGAGGCCACTGGGCCCTGCACAATGCAAAAAATACTTTCGACCACCTGATTCTGCCTTGGGGGGCTGAAGGGAAACCTGTCAGTGCTGAGCACGTCCAGGCCCTCTGTCAGCAATCGCACAGCCCAGACTGGCTCACTGCCCTCTGGGGGCTGGGGGGGACCATGGCCCTTCCCAAAGGCTTGCGGGATGGCATCTGGTGACACTGTTTTCTGTATCCTTGCGCTGCCAGGACCTGACACGTGTTTGTGTTAATGCCAGCTTAAGGGATGAAGCAGATGCGTGAACCCGAAGAGCTGCAGGTGAGTCAGCAGATGGACGCTGCTTGGCTGCGCACTGCTGCAGAGTTTCAGTGTAAACAGAACATAGCCCTCAGGGGGCCTGAGCAGCCTGACCTGTGTGTGTGTCCTTCCTCAACCCGAGGCTCAGCTCTGCGAGTGGATTACACGCCAGCCTTAAGCAATATCCCGGCACAAAGCATGGCTGTCCATCTGCAGACGGGAGTTGAAGAAGCTGGCTCACTGAAATGATTGTTCTTTGGTTTTGGCAAGGCTTAAAGAAAAAATCTCACTGCAAATTGCCTTTTTGCCTTGTCCATTATGCAGATAAGTGATAAGAATTATGCAGCAAATGCAGAAGCAAAAGCCAAGAGCATACTGGTATTCCATTTCTTATCTGATTTTAAGAAGTTAAGTGGAAGTCTCTGTTGTATGTAATGATGAAGTTCTGAACAGCTTACTTCAGTCTTTTGTTCTGACAAAGCAAAGCTCTATTTGGCTAAAAAAAAAAGTGGAAATTCTTCAAGGATAATAAGTTGTCTTCAGTATTCTCTGCCAGTGGGTTCTGCGTTACCCATTGAACACCACTAATCAGTTCCTACGTCTGGTGGCACTGTTCTTTTTGCTCAGTTGTTAAGGTTTCCCTTCATATAATCCTAAAACTTGCGTGTGGCTTTAGGAAATGGTAGGGCTGCTTCAGTTCATTTCAGTTCCTGTTACACTAACGGCTTCTTATAGCTGCCTCTGCCCCACGCTGCGGTTTTGGAGGTTTCCTCCTGAGCCCTACAGCTGTGCTTCAGCTCAAACAGCTGATTTCCTAAGCGTAGGGCCTGCAGAATCAGAGTTTGTTCTTTGGTGTATTTTGGGTAGGGATTTTTCAATATTTTATTCTGACTACTAAAGCTATTACTATTTCCTTGTAAGAAGGCGTTCTGCAAATATTCTGAATCTGCAGATTAGATTGCACAACCCACCTTCCCTCAGCCTCACATCTCACACATCTTGAGCAGGCTGTGAGGTCTGGGAGCCCCTCAGCACCCCTGTGAGAACTGCCTCTGTCCTGCTCTGCCCAGCGGGTTCACACTCTCTGAAGGGGACAAGTGAGGTGTCTTATAGAACTGGAAAGTCATTTGGTTATACAGCTGGCTCTGATGAACCCGGCAGTGCCCTGGCTTAGCAGCACCTGTGTCTTGGTGAGCTGTGGGATGCCCCGTGACGGTGCCATTTGGGCTTGGGCTGGTGGTCTCCCATCACCGGCTGCTGGCTCACCCACCCAGCTGTGTGCCGGCCCCCATGGAGGTACGTGGCACGGAACGTGGGCCAGCCCCCACCTCGTCCCTCCCTGTCCTGTGGCAAGGCGCTGGCAGCCAGGCCGCAGGAAAACCCACACCAACCATTCTGTGGTGTAAACTGAACTCCCCACGCTTTCTGTTGACCCGAAGCAATCATTTTTCATAACTGATTTGTGGAATTTCAGCTTTTTTCTGCCGTAGTCCCGCAGGCTGGAGGTGTTGGTGCCAGGAGGAGGGGGCTGAGCTGCGCCCTGCCCAGCCCTGTGCATCCTGTGTGCCGGGCAGTAACGGGTGTTGAGATGCTGGTTCAGTGGCCGCTGGCACCAGGCTGGTTCTGCGGGGTTCTCTACCACTCCCTGGGGGAAAAAAATCATCCTTCTGGCCAGCTGGCTACATTCAGCTATAGCTGTGCTTTGTGTTAGCATGTCCTGCTGGCTCGGCTGCAGTCCTGGAGCGCAGACCTTCCCTGCGGCTGCAGCTGCCTTTGGTGGGCAAGAGGCCATGAGCAGCCCCCTGTGAAGGTGGGAGCAGCCTTTTGCTGGCCACAGGCAGCTGCTGGTCTGTCAGTTTTCTGATTTTGCTGGATCCTTAGATGATTGCTACTATCCAGGATTTATTACTGCTGGTAGCAGAGCATTTCTGAGCAGCACTGGCGGTGCCCAGTAAGAGCAAGCTGCTGGCGTCCAACCAGTGCCTCTCCTGTATGGAAAGTATTTGCTTTCTTCTGAATATATTTTTTAAGTGCATATTATAAAACTCAAGGTTGGGCAAGTTGTTCTTAAAATTAATTTCTCTGGGAAAAAATACATAAACGGTAAGCTGGTTTGCATTAGATACCAAAGGCTTCGTTAACCAAAACCTAACGTGGCCTGAAACAGCGTATTTGGAAAAGAATATTTGAACTGGACACTGAGCAAAGCCCCAGCTGTGCATTTTGGAGGGACCTGCAACTGCACTGTGATGGCGACTATACCCAGGGTGGGTGGTTGTGAAGCTTTCATGCTGCAGGACACTGGGGCTCCTTCCTGGCCTTGGGGTCTGGCTGCTGCTCCACCCTGCTGCCCTGCTGGCCCCACTGGCGCTGCAGTGCCTGTGTCTGAAGTTTGGGCTTGTTTTGCATTTATTCCTGGCTTATGGGTGAGGGATCCTTTCTGCTTTGATTCTCTTTATTACTTTCCTCCACCTCATAATTTTGCTCGGCGATATAGCTTGCTGAAGCCTGAAGTGAATTGGTATGGCTTTAATTAGTTGATGGGTGTGAACTAATGAGGGGTTTGGGCTCGGGTTGTGCTGGCTGGTGCTGTGGGGCTGGGCACTGCGGGAGCAGCCACGTGCTGCTGCGGGGAGCACAGGCATGCACTGCTGCCAGTGGCAGCACAGTCTGTGCCAGTGGGTTCTAGATAGGCATCCTCAGGTCGCCATGACCTCTCCAAGCTGTGTTCATTTATAATTTGCACAACTGAAGTTTTGTTGGTACAGAAAAATGGAATTTTCCCAGTGGCAGGGAGGATTGGCATATGAGTCATTGGACTTCATTAGCTAATCTTAGATCTGCTGTGAATTACTCAGTGACTACTGATACAGAGTGGGCTCATTCTGAGCACTTAATTTTAGAATTTGGTCTCTTCTCCAGCAAGGAGAGTGCATACATGGGATCGGTGCCACCAGTGTCTGTGCATGCTGCTTCCCAGGGGCTGGCCGCAGAGGAACACTGTGCTCTGAGATTAGACCCATACATGAAGCTCAGCTATGTGAGGGTGCAGAGAATGCAGATGGTGGGGACCACATAAACTGTACCCACACTGTTCTTTTTCTCCCTGTGCTATACTGCCTGGTCCAGGAGTGGTAATGGCCTCTGGGCATGCTGGGCACCACACACTGCCACTGGGCACCGTTTCTAGGGACCCTGCTGCCCAAGTGTTCTGTGCCAGGCTGTAGGGCTCCTGACCCACCTGCTATTAGGGAAAATATTACAGAGAGTGCAGAAGAAAGCCTTGTCACCACTAGGTGATCTCTTGCTGAGGTGGGTACCCAGACACATGGCTTATTAGGAACCTGGAGCACACTGACTGCTCGATTCCACCACTGAAGGGTTTATGCTCTCTTCCAAAGGTTTCCTTTGCAACACGGTACCTTGTGGAGTTCCACAGGACTAAACCTTTTTGAGAATCATCCTGTGGGCTTTGTTTCATAGAATCATAGAATGGCTTGGGTTGGAAAGAACTCCAAGGATCATCAAGTTCCAACCCCCTGCCACAGGCAGGGCCACCAACCTCCAGGTCAGGCACTAGACCAAGCTGCCCAGAGCCCATCCAACCTGGTCTTAAATGGCTCCAGGGACGGGGCATCCACAACCTTTCTGGGCAGCCTGTTCCAGTACCTCACCACTCTCTCTGTAAAGAACTTCCCCCTGACATCCAATCGAAATCTTCCCTCCTTGAACTTAAAACCATTCTTCCTTGTTTTATCACTATCTACTCTTGTTAAAAGTTAATTCCCCTCCGTTTATAATCCTCTTTCAAGTACTGGAAGGCTGCAATGAGATCTCCCTGCAGCCTTCTCTTCTCTAGGCTGAACAAGCCCAGCTCCCTCATCCTGTCTTTGTAGGAGAGGTGCTCCAGCCCTCTGATCATCTTTGGCCCTCCTCTGGACCCTCTCCAATAGCTCCACATCTCTCCTGTACTGGGGGCCCCTGACCTGGACACAGTACTGCAGATGGGGCCTCACAAGGGCAGAGAAGAGAGGGACAATCACCTCCCTGTCCCTGCTGGCCACCCCTCTGCTGATGGAGCCCAGGATACCACTGGCCTTCTGAGATGCAAGGGCACACTGCTGGCTCATCTACAATTTTTCATTCACCAGCACCTCCAGGTCCTTCTCTTCAGGGTTACTCTCAAGGAGTTCTTCACCCAATCTGTATGTATCTGGGATCACTCTGGCCCAAGTGCAAAACCTTGCACATCACTATGTTGAACCTCATTAGGTTCACACAGTCCCACCTTTTGAGTTTGTCCAGGTCCTTCTGTGTGGCTTCACTTCCTTCTAATGTGTCAACCACACAGCTCAGCTTGGTGTCATCAGCAAACTTGCTGAGGGTGCACTCGAGCCCTCAAGTTTTGAGCACTCGAGTTTCCTCTTTCAGTATTTAAATGAATTTCACTTTTCCATGTTCTGCGTTAAAACTGGACAGTTTATTACTGTCTTATCTCTTTGCTGGTTTCTGAGCTCAGCTGCTTACCACGTTACTATGAGGGATTTTGCAGAAGTTGTTGCTGCCATACGCACTGTGCCGGCAGTTCCCCATCCGTTGCTGTGTTGGTGCATTGGGAGTCACAGGGTTTCTCCCCAGCCTCCATCCCAGCAGTCCCCTGAAGGAGGGCAGGGGGGTTGGGATGTCTGGCCTATGAGACTCTGCTTTCATTCTCCTTGTAGGACTCACATGTATGCCAAGAACCATACCCGTGCTTTCCCAGTGGCATTTTCACAGACTGGAACTAAAGATGAGGTTTACATTAATATATCAGTAACATTGTCTTTCTGGTGCTGGATGTTGTCAGCTACCAAGAGATGCTCTATGGCTTGGCCCCAGCTTTCTGCCCCTGACATATGAAACGCTTTTTGGTAGAAAAATTGCCTCAATTTCAAGAAATACGAGTAGGGATGTGGGCAATAACTGCCTTTGGAAACATCTGTTTTGCTTTTCTATGTATGTCACCTCTTTCTTAAAAAACAAACAAAAAACCCCCAAACTTCTAAATGAAAAAGAAAATACTCACTATGTAATATAGTCACTGGACTGGCTTACAGATGATTGCTAAAAGCTGCGTTAATGCTGCCACTTTATTTTTACACGTTGGTGCCCAGGGCCTCCACCTGAGAGCCCTCCTCCGCAAGAAGCAGATGCCCAGCACAGCTTGATCCCAGCTCCCCGTGCTCACGCTGCCCTGCCCTCGGCCCTGCCTGCCGCTGTGTGGTCGTGGTGCCGGCTGCAGTGGGTACGCACTGAGGAGGCAGCAGCAGCAGCCAGCATATGGGGAAAACACTGCACCTGAAGTGCTCCCATCTTTTTTAATTATGGACTTACCATCCCAAAGAGTTCTTTTAGAAGCATCTGTTTTGTCATTGGAACGAGGAGCTCCAGCCCTGAGGTGTGGCAGTCTGTGAGGAAGGCTTCTCAGGTGCATGGACACAGCTTTGGTGCCCACCCTGCTGCACGCACGTTGGTTGCCCGTCCCGCAACCACCCCACCACCCCAGTGCTACTGAATGCACACTGCCTGCTTGCTGCTTGTGTATGTCTTACTGCCTCGCACACCTGGTTTCCAGGTAGCAAATGCAGCTCTTCCTTCTGCTTAATTTTACTGCCTTGCTGAGACTGTAAAAACAGGAATGCAGCCACAGCACTTGTGCCAAAGGAGCATCAGTGACTTGTTCTGCTCTGTGTGGCATAAGCAAACACACAAGCATAAGAGAG